TTTTGACTTACTCTGTATAATTCCCTGTGCCACTCTAAAAAGCTGAAGTAAATGTGAAGTCTATAATTATGGGAAATGGCGGTGAAATGATAAGCTAAAGTGCGTGTAGAAGTGATCAGCGAATGACGAGTTTATCAACCATAGTGATGACGTGCTGTGTGATGTGATAACATAACCACCAAGTGTGACTGAAAACCTATGGCGCTTTAAGCCTGATTCGGAATTGAACTGTGTGTTTTGCTAATCTGTTAACTGTTGAAAGACTGTTTCAGTTGTGGAAATTAATAACAATTAATAAATGGATAAGAGATTCAAAGTGATTACTGATATATACTTGTAGATGGTAATAGGCATATGTAAATAGTAGGCATAGGCAATACGTAATTTAAAAATGACTTGCTGCAGCAAAGACAACAATAAGTTGATGTAAGAATTTAATTTGTTTGCAATTAATTATTTAATGTGTAGATCGATTGAAGATAATGACTGATGTGACAATTAACCAAAGTTATTAATTTGGATAAATTGTGAAGGGTAATTTGACAATTCGTTTAAATAATTGAGAGGTAATTTTTACTAAGAATTAGGGGAAGGTAGGCTAGTTTACCTTTTTCGTTTTGATGTTATGTGAACTTCGTGTGTTGTTAAATTTTGGTAATTCCAAGAGCGATGTATACAATCTGTACTATTTAAGGTTGTGGGACTTGTCATAGATGTAACATGTGATAACATATATATTTGATGTGTGATTGTGACAGTAGACGGTAGTTACTGCGATGCCACTGGACAGGTAAGGCGATTTCGGCCAGTTTTTGCCTTGCTAACCTGTCCAAAACACCTTAGGGGGGGAGATGTGGCACCGCGTTTCTGGGTTTGAGCCCCGGCGATCTGCTAAGGTGTGAAGGTAAAATGTATGGTTTGTACGGGACTAACTGTTTGAGTCAGTCTTCATCTGGAGTACTGGGGCCAAAGGCTACAACCGATTCGGGCAACTCCTCTAAAGGAGAAAGGGAAGTTTGCTATACCAATGAACCCCTTCAGTTCAACTACAGCTAACTACGTCGTCTACATTACTGAAATAGATAAACTGCTTAAGACAGAGTCACCAATAGAAAATACGTATACAGTTTGGTATTCATCTCTGTTGGTTTCAAGCAATTAAAAAGAACCACCTGAAGATGATTAATTACGATCGAAACATGTAGTGGATCTTAATAAACTTTGAAACTATTGGCTGTGTAGACGGATTGTCGACCTAACAATAGATTAGAGTTAGTACTTGATATTAATAGGCATCTAAATTTCTAGATAATTGGTCTTTTTGAAAGTTGAACAGAATGGTTCGCATTACGTATGATTGTCCCGGAAATTGAAATACTCTAGATTTCGGTGACACTTGTCCACAATACACGAGTGTATAATAAACAAATAAAACAATGATTTAATCTCTTTGGTTTTAGTTGATTATTGATCCCATTTTTTAAGAGAATATTCAAAATTCCCTCTGATATATTTCACATGTCACGTCAACTTTTAAAAAGTGACTTTAGGGATTTCTTAGACCCGTATAGTAAAAATGTCTATAGAAAAACATGTGGTGCCTGTTTTATCCTTTATTAAATAATGATGTTACGTACCGCTTTGAGTTTTCTTCACCGAAGAGCACGAGATTCAAGTAGGCTCAACTAGCCACTCCAGTTCCTTCAGCTGACTGAAGAAAAATAGGAGTGACTTGCAATTCGAATCGTATCAGTAAACATTACAAATATATTGACACATATAGCGCCATCTTTTAACCAACTGCTTGTACTTCGAGATGAGTTGAATAATTTATGAGTAAACATTCCATTATAATACGAGGACGTCTGTCTGTGGCTTTAGGTTATGCCACCTCGTGTCTAATCAGTTTTACTGACACCATGATGTAGTACCCCTGAAGAGAAAATACTTAGCATCTTGGGGTCAACTTTCGTTGGCTTTGAACTGTTAGATAGTTGGTAGTACTGCTTAGACAAATGACCAGCGTCGCAAGGCCTCTACCTGTACACAGGACAGCACAAACATCCATGGCTTGAGTGTCATTCGAACCCACGGTCCCAGTGACCAAGCGGCACAAGACCCACGCCTCAGACCGCGCGGCCACTGTGACGAAGAGAAAATATCTCGAACTTATTATCTTTAATTTTTTCTATTTTACGCCTAATAGACATGGTAATGTTTTTATGGAGAAAGGTCATAGACAATTTTATTATATTAATATATTTTGGTCGGGTGCTTAAGGTACATTACGTCAGTTTTTGTGGAGGTAGTGCCCCATATTTTGACCTACGGGAATGATTTGCGTTGTTGTTGGTCTTCCGGGTTGAAATACCTTAACATCACCATAATTGTGTAAAGAAACATATCATACATATTTTCAGATCTTCTTTATCATGTAACTTTGATAATATAATTTTAAGTAAATGATGTCATCCATTGTTTTCTTCAGAAATACAGATTTATCACAAGAGGTCCTTCTTTAGCTGACGAATACTTTAAAATAGTCGTGTAGTAAGTGATTTTATTGCAAGTAGCATTCGAACACGAATGAGAACATGTTTATCTCTTTTAGATTATTGCAGCCTTAAGTGATTCTTCTAATATCCTTATCAGTTTTTTTCATGTACCTGTAAAGTACCTTTAATAACGTTAGAAGAGAGATAAATCTGATAAATTTTTATGCAGTAATGTAACAGTAGGTCTGTTATTTTGTACTTTGTTTCTACACGAACATACACAGATGTTAAAACAATTCCATAGACCAATATCATATTCGCTTTGTTATTTATTATAGAATGTCATTCTAGTTTTGGGTCGAAGTTTGATATTCAAATATGCAATTCTGTTGGTTCATTGTTGTTGGTAGCTTCATGTTTTATTCTACTGTTGTTAAACACATTTGCTACCAGACGTCTCCAAAGTAAGCTGTCGTACAATTTGTACGGCTAACAAAATTCTGGAAAAGATGTCCTGATCATGTAAGTATAGCACGTTGTTTGGTGCAGAAAAAAATAATATAAGAATTTTTTTCGGAAACGCACGTCTGGCTTCATACTGTATTGTAATTGATTTTTATCAGATGTTTCCAAACTATTCTCCCATAAATCCAAAAAGATTCTTCCTACGTTAATACAAATCTAAAAGTCACTACCTATTCCTAAACTGTTATGTACATTTTATTTTTGAACCGATTTTGATGAATCGAACTATAAATTATAGAATTTGTTTATAAGGATTGATTAACAGTACATTAAATTTTCACATATTATTTTACATTGTCAGTACATTTCCTTAATCGAGCTGGCATGTTTGCTATTACTTATCGCAGCATGTTTCGAAGAATTTTGATAACATTGATTACACTTTCCTAGACGCCACGTCTCTAGCCCATCGTCCTCTGAAACGTTAATACGGGCATCGTTTACTACAAGAAACGGTGCCTCACCGTGTTCGAAATGAAGTGTTGTGGTGATTTCATACTAAGAGATGAATCTACACACCGTCCGTTGACATTATGTAAAAAAAAAGTTAGTAACTTCTGTGTAACATAAACATTTAAAATTGTTTTCCTGAAGGTTATGTTCTGTATAGTATTAGCACATGTCTTGTTCAACTCTTAGATAATAAGGTTGTTAAAATGTTGATATTCTTATCAGAGTATGATATTAAGGTTGCATGTTGGAGGTAAACTCAGTACTCCAAGGCCGTATGATTAAACAGAAGGTTGGATCGTTTGTTGCGTCAAGTCTGAGATATCATACAAACTGCGTATTAATACACTTTACATTAGAAGTAACTAACTAATACTGTTATTACGAAATGTATAAGTAACTTTCTAAAAATAGTAAAATCATTGTTCACAAGCTAATAGTATGCTCAGATAGTCAACAAATACCAACCTTGGGCCAAATTAATCCGATACACGAATTCCAAACCTAATTTCATAAAATCGCTTTTAATATCAACCTCCCAATGTGTTCTAAGTTGACTCTTCCATTCAGGCTTCTCAACCAAAATGTTGTACACATTTCTCTTCTCCATGCACGGAACATGTATTCCTTAATTTCATTATCATTGGAATATTTGGAGACGATAATTATGGAGCTCTTCATTGTGTCCTTTATCCTCATTTCTGTCACTTAATGCTTCGTGTTTCCAAATATAATTTGTTTTGGATAATAACACATCACATTGTCCTCGCTGGTTATTATTCACAATTGCAAATTAATTAATATTTTCGCGACACACACGTTATTCTAAACAGTGGGTCGCCTGTCTAATACGTTTCTGTAACGTGTGGGACGGGATTTGTGATGATAATGTACCGTTAATCAGGAAAAAGATAACAGCTGTGGATTGTGACCTGATAACTGCAGAAGTCGACTGGAAACATGAAAAAATTGAGTAACATCCCACTAGAGAGCCAGAACTACAGTTGGAAGCAGAGAATTTTACAGAACGCGAGTAAAGAAAGAAAAACATATTCTTTTCTCCCCTTCGCTTTTGAGGGCCAGGTCATTATGAATTTATGAGAGGAGATGTAAAAAAAAAAGGTTTGTCAGAGGAAAGAGAAAGAACGCACAGTGTCGTCAGAATAACTGATATGAAACAGAATAGAACATGTGTTCTTCTTTATTACGCCGCCTGCTTTACAGGAGGTTGGCGACATATTATGAACAGGATCCTTCCATCCTTTTCTCGGACTGGGACCTGTTCATATACGTCCTTGGCAGATGATCCAGAAGTGGTTTGCCATTGCCTTCTTCTGTGTGTGAATGGAGTAATTGTTGGGATGCCACGGAGAAACCGGGGAAGCCCCCGGAGGAAAACTCCGTGTTGCCTAGACCACGGCCTTGCCCAACACAAGTTATAAATTCGGGCACCGCCGGGAATCGAACCCGAGACCCCAGGATTACAAGGCCAGCGTGGCGGCAGAACATGTGTTAAACACAGAAATTGTGTAAATAAAATTGTTGATTTAATTTACTAAGCTCTGTACACCATTTCAGATGCCATATGCATTTACAAACAGATTTCATACTTCAGTTTTAATATTCTCGAAGAAATGTTCGACGTCAACAAACGTGAAACAGCGATTTTTAGGCTGTGAATTGTGACTGGGGGCGCGGAATTCCAGGTTTTTGTCTTTGCTGCTGCGGTGGTGGGGGAGGTGGAGGGGGAGGCATTCTCTGCCCTGTTCCTTGATATATTTGCTGCTGGGGTTGTAAATATCCCCAGGCTGTAGGCGTTGCTTGATCCGGGTCGTAGTTGGTGTATGGTACGAGGGCAGCGTCCCAGTTTTTTGATGGCAGCAGTGTTTGTGTCCCGTATGCATTGCTACTGTTTGCTTCTGACAGGTCTTTGTACAGACTGTACACGACCGTGGCGAAGTAAAGCAACAGAACTGCAAACATTGCAAAACAAAACTTATATTAAATTGTGATCCTGAGTACAGCATGTACCATTTAAAACACAAAACAAAATCAGTAGTATCGCCACGATACTAGATTAAAGATCACCCTGGTTACTAGGCCGCTGCTCACGACAGTTGCGCAAAAGTTGTACAGTTGAGAACACTGCGTGTTGATGAACGAAAAAAATGTTTATCAAAATAAAGTAATAAGTTTTTTGAAGTATTTAGAAATGCGTGTGCCATCTGCTAACAAAATTTCCGGTAGTGCCAATTTCAAACTTATAATTTGCAAAACCAGGATACGACTGCGAGAATTTAACATTGCTGTTACTTTCGTCTTGTGCGTGAATGCGTATATTTATGGTTGCGTTTCAAATGGAACGAACCTATCTTAATTCAGTGGACAGTTATGAGTAGTTACCGTGTGACATTGTGCTTGAAATCTCTGGGTCACAAGGTAATGATGTGGACTCAAAGATCTCGCATTTCAAAGGGCCTAAGTAAGAAAATATAACGTATTATATGAAAGTAGTAAATTGCCCTTCAAGAACGAGAGGGAAATTTAACGCAGCGAATAATCACACATAATCATAAGTGTTGTCTCAGTGACTCTTGACAACATTACATGGCAACAATTATGAGAACGCACACATTCATAAATATTATCCCATTAGGTCCAAAATTCCTTAGCAGCAAATGGTCACTAGTCAGCACTGGTTTATTGTGTATTTTTCGCAAAGAGGGCAGTGTTTGGCGCGATCTAGGCCAGTGTTCTTCAACCTTTTAACACCCGCGGCCCGGCGAAAATAGGAAAAATATTTCGCGGACCGTCGTCAGCCAGAAATAAAAACCAATGTAAATAGAATTTTATTTATTAAATCTAATGTTATAAAATTACAATTGTTGGTTAGTGCGACATCTGCTGCTGCTTTGTAAGCAAATTTGATATACGTGGATGCAGCGTTGTTTCTGAGAGACGAAGCGCTGCATTAACATCAATTCGATTTCTCTGTTTGGTTTTTA